GTGTTTTATTAAATAAACATTTCTCAGCGATGGAAGGTGTTTAATGTTTTATTAAGTGTCATTTATTTATCCATAAACCTGGTTTTGGGTTTAAATAAAAGCTTTTTCATTCTTATAATAAAATGCATATAAAAAATTATGAAATCGAACTCGAAGGTTATATATCTTTCAATAAAAAGAAAACATTCGACCTCACAGGGATTCGATCTAGCGGTCTTGTAGTGATTGCAGTGCCCCTGGTGGTAACATTTGTCTCTAGTTGATTCTAGCAACGAGCGAAGATAGGAAGTCGAAAGACCAGTTAATCTACCGACTCTGCTACTGGTCACATAAATTTAAAATTCGGTACTAAATTCAATACGCATGAGCAAGTAAGATGTAAGTTCTGATTGGCTAACATATGTCGGATGATCAGTCCTCAACGTATTATTATCACTTTGCCCGACTAGATGGTAGCAGTATTCATAATGACCGGTCAATTTGATAAATTATTGAAATTTATTACAATGCCCAATTTTGTTGGTCATTATTCATAATGCCCGTATTAAACACTTTGTCCATAACATATATATGCTCCTCTTACAAATAAGGCCTACTGGTGATCTAAACTACTGAATCCTTGGGCCGAGTTTACCATTGACCACGAACTGGTTGCGTGAACTTTCCGTGTTTTAAGTTGTTCAGGTGTCTAAAATCTAATTATGGGACAATTTATCATAAGCTCTCGTTTAGTACGGTCCACTAGTGGCCGGATGGCTAAAACATCAAACACTAGGAGTTTGTCTAAGCCTTGTGGGAGGCATCCCCTTTGGCAAATCAACGAACACGTCTGCAGATTTGAAAGTTTGCATTTTTGGACAGTTGTGGGATCATATGACACCAGAAAACTGAATGTCAATATTAAACAAATGAAGGTAAGTCTTACTAATTTATTAAACCTCAAATATTTTAGTACTATTTTCTGTTGTTTGTTAACATTTTAAGGTATATTCTGTTACGTGTGTGTCTTCTAGATCCCATTCAAGCATGAACGTTGCAATAGACAAAGTATGATCGCTTTCTAATCACACTTAATAAGTGTTCGTTTACAACTATATTAAACTGAAATTAAATATCCACATAGAAAATCTATCGTGAATTGAATACCTTTTAAATAAAACGTAACCTAAAATTTATATAACATGTAAAATAAGTCTGAGATGAATTAATTGTATGACAGAACTCTCAAGACTG